TTTTCTACTTCCCCTCTCTCTCCCACATCTGGCTGTGTCTAGACATTAGACACTCTAGATAATCTAAGCCTACTCGGGTCATGGAGAAGAGGCAAAATCTTGATGGAAAATCTGGGGTAAATAAACCAGACCGAGAAGACTGGTTGTGTTACGGATTCCCGCCATGCCCTCAGACGTTCCACCACATGGTTGGTGATCTTGTGAAGGCTACCTGCCTTCTCTGCAGCTCTCTCTGGGGCACTGAGAAGAAAGACTGACCCAGAGCTTCCAGTACAGTTTCAAAGCAAGCGTCTAGTTCTAGGGAGACACAGCTTAACCCTGTGTTAAGGGTTAAGGGGTCCAGCACAGCAGCACAAGTGACTTGCAAACCATAACGCTGACACAGGCCACAACCCATCTTCATCTTCCTGTCTTAGGCATTGTACTTTCATCCAGGTGTTCCAAGAAAGCATAGCAAGCCAGCACTGTAGCCCTGGCCTCATGGATCATGAATTAAAGCCTCTGCCTGTGTCGTTTGTGTGTGTGTGTGTGTGTGTGTGTGTGTGTGTGTGTGTGTGTAAATCACAACCAGAAGTGTTTGCTTGCTCTCAGAGCTGCAGAACTGCTGCTGGTTAGATACAGGTGCTGAGATGCAAAAAAGTGATGTCCCAGAGATTGTGTATTGTCTCTTGATTGTTTCCCACAGAATGTGCCCTTGGTGGGTGCAGAAGCCAATTTCACAAACCTCTTCCAACAGCAAGCCAGATGCTCAGTGTGTGGCTGCACGGCTGATTTCAACCAAAGTTGTCCAGAAGAAATAGAATGTTAATTAAAATTTGGATAACTGTTTTTAGCAACTAACTTGTAAGACAAAGGTGAAATCATTTGAAAGTATTTCACTTAATCTAATAGATGCAAAATGTTAACATTGTTGGACATACTGATGATATATTTTGCATTATTTTTTAATATTACATCTTCAATACCTACTATATATTTAACATTAAAGTATACTACAGGTACTGGCTGGCCAAATATGGCAGTATCAAAATATTATCCAGTCCAGTTCTAAATTATTTGTCTAGATCAAGGTACAACTGCCCCAAGGTATGGAGAATCCTTCCAGTCAATGAGACAGTACAGGATATCAGGAGGCTATGGGGAGAGAGAGCACCTGGAAACTCAAGTTGAGAGGGGATTGCCACTTAGATATGCCCTTAGATATGTAGGTGTTTCTTCAGCAGCTACTCACAGGTTTTCATTTGCCACAAAGAACAGAGGAGATCCCTGCCGTCCTTCCCACCTAACTCACCCAACTCCAGTGGTTCACACTCAGGACTTACCAAGAGCTGGAGGGGGAGGTAGCAATGAGCTGTCCGTTATCAGTGATCTCTACTTGTCATCCCAGCTGGCATGCCCCTTTAAAAGACTGCATTTGAAGTATTATATATATAATATAGATTATATAGATGGCACTTTTTAATGTTACATCTCAGCATACCACTTTTCCATATATCACAATCTCCTTTAATCATGGTAGTGCCTCTTATTCATGTGTTTTATTCTCCTTATTTATTTCCACTTGGAAATGTAAGGATTGGAGAAGTGCTTCAAAATTGCACTGAGAGAATCTGAGGGGAAATTTCTTTGAATGAAAATTTTTGTATCTCCCTTTGGGGAGCTGTGGGAAATGTTTTTATGGGACAGTGTGCCTCAAAGCAATGAAACATACTAGTGTCAGCCACAACTAAAAGGAAGCCCTAGAGTCTAAATCCTGCATCAGCCCCAGACTCTGACCCCTTGTATCATAAAATATACCACTTACTGATCTCCCATGTACCAGGTTCCCAGACTAGCAATTGCTCATAAACTTTCTTCCTCACGAAAACCTAATTTGGAGCCAGAGATGTGGCTTAGTGGTAGATCACTTGTCTGGCATGTGCAAGGGTCTGGGTTCTATCCCCAACAAAACACATACACAGTTGAAATTTTTATAAATAATTATCTTTATAGTAAAAAAAATTGCATATACAGGCTGGAAAGATGGCTCAGGGTTAAGAGCACTTGTCGCTCTTGCAGAGGACCTGGGTTTGATTCCCAGTACCTACATGGCAGCTAACAACTGTCTTTTGTAATTCTAGTACCAAGGGATCCAGTGCCCTTTTCTGCCTTCAGTGGGCATTGCATGATGGATGCACTTTTGTACATGTAGGCAAACACTTATCACATAAAATAAAAATAAATAAACACATTTCTATTACATATACATATTTTTACAATAAGCTAGGTGTGGTAATGTGTGCCTATAATCCCAGCACTTAGGAGGACAAGACATAATAATTGCTCTGCCTGGACTATGTCCAAAAATGTCAAAAGTATTTGGGAGCTTGTATCTAGTCCTTAAAAGATTTTATGGTTACCTCTTCAGAGGGGGGAATTTTGGAGGGGAGGGAGTGGGCATGGATTTGATCAAAACACCTTATATGCAGGTATGAAATTCTCCGTGAAGTTTTTTTGTAAAAGTTAAAAAAATGCAAAAGCAAAAAAACCAAGATGAGGAAATATAATCAAATATATTGTTTGTTTTACAATGTAACATCAGTCCTGCTCATCTACCATTCCAGTTACAGCAAATATGGCTAAAAACTTTCAAAACCATGAGTATAAATGACAGATAATAGTATATACCTGCTACAAATCTATGTTTGTGAAGCATAGGCAAATGGGAGTTGGTTATAACGTATTTATTAATGCCAAAATAAAGACCTTATTTTCCACCTACAATGCATGGCAACATCAATATAATGAAAAAGAAATGGGCTTTCAAGAGAGTCATACTCACTCTGTGACACTCATGGGTTTTTGTGATGATGTTGTGAATACAGAAAGAGGTGACAAAAGTCAGAAATTGCAAACATGCCAAAGCCAACTGCAGTTTTCTGTGAACTTGAAATGTACATAAGGTCTCTCATGTTCCTCACATGTCTGTAGACGAAGAAAAAGAATGAAAGAATGAAGACATGGCCAGAAATGAATGGGGAGTGAAAATGAATTATAAATAAAACGGAAGCATAATGGGTTGAATAAAAGAGAGAAGAGGGAGAGGAAGAAGAGGAATGAAGGGAAGCAAGGGGGCAAATACCTTGAAAAATAAGCCTGAATATTTGGGGGGTCAGACAGTTTCTTCAAGAAAAAGAAACCTGCCTTGATCCTCTAGCACTGAGGTTGGGTGCAGTTTGGGGAACTGTTTAGAGAAATGCAGTGCTCTCCCCACCATTAATCTTTTCTAAAGAAAGACTTTGTTCTGCACCTGTATAAACAATCTACATTTTTAAAACCTATATGCCTGCCCCTAATGTGTGAGCCCATGTATTTATAGTGATAGCTTCAAGTCACAGATAGGTAACACCTCTGCCTTACATCTTTCTGCCTGCACTCCCCTCACCCCCCTTTTTTTTCCTGGCCTGGTGTGCCTAGAGTCAAGTTCAACTTCAAGGGCTAGGAGAAAACTTTCCACCCTTTGCCAAGTACTGCTGCATTTCCCCAGCCCAAGAAAGCTGATTGCCAAGGACCTTTATGCTCAAATTGTCCCTGAAGGAGCCCATCTCTCTCTCTCTCTCTCAGACACACCACCCCAACCAAAGACAAAGTATTCAAGAAAACCTCTGAAATGGAAGCCAGTAGGAGGGGTTGTGTGAAACATTCCTAAATGGGAGGCATGGCCTGGGAAGCAAGGGAGAATGGTGCCTGAGAGATGAAGTCAGTCTTAGCCAGCCACCTGTTGTGCCACTTCAGGCTGGAGCTAGGCTGTTTGTTCTGCTGTAAAACTGGAATCTGCTGGGCAGCTTTTGCCTCCTGTGTCCAGCGCTTGTGTTTCACCTCATTGCCGGTTCCCTTCCTCTTTGGAGCAACTGAGGCAATGGAAGCTTGGGTTTCTCACAGTCAGCAGGAGTCACACCCCAAAACTCATAGGGGTTTAATTCCTTAGCCTGGCCTCACCAGGAGCTCTGGCTGGCATCTGCATCTCCAAAGAAAGTTCTCAACTCCTGACTACCTAATTCAACTTCAGAAATGATGAGACCTGAAATTTTGTGTTGTTTCCTCTAGGGTGGAGAAGGCAAGGTGTTTTGTTTGGGGTTGAAACACAGCACAATTCTAGGGTTTGCTTCTTGTCCTTTCTGATTTTTCTTTTTTTCTTATCTTTGACAGGGTTTTTGTGCTGACTTACTATTCTGCACCCTAAAACTTGCTCTTCATTACAGCATCCAAAATAGCCATGGATTCCCTTGCTACAGTTCACAGCATTGGGTCAGGGGAAACAATCACACAGTGGAAAACATTAAACAATATCTCACGGTATATGGCAAACGAAAGGTTAAACACAGATCCCTAGTCTTTTATGTTCTATACAACTATACTAGTGACTTTGCAAAATGTATATAATACCACAGAAGCTGCAGATTCTGTTTGAAGATGAAACTGGCCAGTATGGATATTAGTACTGTGCATCATAAAGTTCCCATGAAGATGAGAAAAACATGAGAGATCCTCAAGTTGTTGAGCGGCTCGCTTGTTTCGCTTTTTCTCCGCCCTTATTCTGAGAAGCCTTGGATAAACAGACACATCTTGAGCGATGAACTTGAAAGACAGTTCTGAGGAAAAGACTAGGAGAGAAGTGGATATGGGGTTCCTGGTCTCTTAAGGGCCCCACTAAGATCAGCTGCCAGTGGAAATGGGAACAAGGTCTTTGCCTTTTTGTCCCCAAAGCTCACTTACCTCGCGCAGATCCTCAGAGGGTCAGTAGGGCTTTGGGGCCCAAATCTTGGTTCTGTGGAGACATTCCCAGCCCCCGCCCCACTAACCGCTCCACCACGGAAAGGCGATCCCCACCCCTTCCACGCCCCTGCCCCACCTCTTGCCCCCCTTTTCAGCCCCCTCTACTTTGCCTGGGGTGGTTGGTCGCAAGGAGTTCAGATAAATAGTCCTGTCAAAAGGCGCGGCTCCCAGCGGTGCATCTGGATCCCAGCTCAGAGTCCTAGGCTTGAGGGTCAGCATCCACTTCACTACGGAGCCTCAGGGCCGCGGGCCCACGTCTCGTGTCCTCTGAGCAGTCCCAGGCCCCAGCCTCCGCCAGGGAGCGGAAGTCGCAGACGGCGAGACTGGCCAGGGCGGAGGAAGGCGGACGCGCGTGGGCGCGGGGGAAAGGCGATGTCCACCGGCTCGGTGAGTGACCCTGAAGAGATGGAGGTGCGGGGGCTGCAGCGGGTCTACCCGATCCCCACCTCCAAAAGGCCGCCTCTCCTTGGCGCGGAGCGCAGCTACGCCTCTCCCAGTGACAATTCCTCTGCGGAGGAGGAGGACCCCGACGGCGAGGAGGAGCCGCGCGCCCTAGGCGCCGCGCGGGATGCCGAGCGCTGCAAGAGGAAGCGGCCGGGCACCGCTGGGGGCGGTGGCGCAGGTGGCGCTGCGGGCGGCGGCGGCAAGAAGCCCCTCCCGCCCAAGGGCTCGGCCGCCGAGTGCAAGCAGTCGCAGCGGAACGCGGCTAACGCCCGCGAGCGCGCCCGGATGCGGGTGCTGAGCAAAGCCTTCTCCAGGCTCAAGACCAGCCTGCCCTGGGTGCCGCCTGACACCAAGCTCTCCAAACTCGACACGCTGCGGCTGGCTTCCAGTTACATCGCGCACCTGCGCCAGCTACTGCAGGAGGACCGCTACGAAAACGGCTACGTACACCCGGTGAACCTGGTAGGGATGCAGCGCGCAGCATCCCGAGCGCTTCTGGGCTCGGGGCAGAACCCGAAGGGGAGGTTTCTGGGACCTGTGGTGAGGGATCTGGTTCGGAGTCTCCCAAATCAAGGCAGAAGGAACCAGCCATTTTCTTGGAGAGAATCATCCAGCCTTGTGATGAGTGTCCTGGTGCTCTGCCCAGTAACATTACTCGCTAACACCCTGCTTCCCGGGTAAATCGTGGCTCCTAGCTGAGTCTACTGCTGGGATGTAGATTGAGTGGAAAAAAAAATCCCGAGTTGCCCAACTTTTCCCAGACAAAAGCTTGTCGGGTTTCAATGAGCAAACGCTGTTTTCTTTTTAAAAGGAGAGAAGACCTAACTCTTTGTAAAAAGTTTTTTTTTTTTTTTTTTAAGTAATACAAGATAGCAGGGTTTCCCCAGACTTGATTGTCCGGAAAGCCCCTGACTGACCAGCCAACTCTCCAGGCTTAGGAAAGATCACACCCAAATTTATCTGGCAGTCAGGCCTCTTTGTAAATCAGTCTCTCTCTCTCTCTCTCTCTCTCTCTCTCTCTCTCTCTCTCTCTCGTCACAGAACCCCAAATTCACGCGCTTTCCACTGAACTATCCTGTGGGCACACCACCCGGAAGCATAAAAACACACCTTATGTCTTGCATAATCATAATCAGTAGCTACTAGAATTAAAACCCTAGTTGAGGGACAAGACACACAAATTTCCCGATAGCTACTAAAGGTCCAGCCTAGGGTATCTGGAGTTCACTTAGGAAAAGTGATTTCGGTTTAAAATGTATCTTCTCAATATCTGACGCTCGTTTTGATTTTATAGACGTGGCCATTCGTGGTCTCTGGACGACCCGATTCTGACACCAAAGAAGTTTCCTCAGTCAACAGGTTATGTGGAACTTCGGCTTAGATCCGCAGCTCACCTGATGGATTCTGTTAAACGAGGGGGTTGGGGGCGGAGGAGAAAAGGGAGAGCGAGCGTGAGGGACCCGACGACCCACAGGAGGGCCTGCTGGATTCTGGATCTTTCCCTTTTCCTGGAGCGGCGAACCATACAGGTGGCGGCGTGGCAGCCTCGGTTCAGCGCGGGTGGCAGAAGCCGCCTTGGACTGCGCTACAACGTTTCTGCCAGAAAGAGCTTAGGTTCCTGTGAAGAGCGTGGGCTAGCTCCAAATAGGGGCTTTGGTTATGTGGACAAACCTCGGCTGCCATCTGAACCCAACGCCCAACCTGCGAGGGCTTGATTTCGGAGCTGATCCAGATTTACTGTGCGATTGATTGGCAGTGTTCTGCGCATTCCAGGCATTTTTTTGTGACCTGGGTGGGTGGAGAGCACTCTGGGTGCCATTGAAAAACTGAAGCCTTGGCGCTGAGCCGCATAGGGCCTGCTTGTAGGTTGCAAAGCGGAAAGTTGTATCCCTGGTCTTGGTTTGACTCCCGCCCTCTCGAGCGGGCGGGGCGATGTCATCTGGGCGGGTGGCAAGGTGGAGATATACTTCCCTGGCCACCAGAGGCCAATTTTGCTTGCACTCGCTCCTGGCTGGGGTCCATGTGTAAAGGTGTTGGGACCACCTGCTCGCCTGTTTTCCCACACTCTGATGATGTCAGCCTGGTTCATTTGGGTCTCCCTTTCCTCCTCACTCCCACTCCACCCTGTGGTCCCTTGTGACTGCAGACTTTCCCCCAGTGCACTTCACCCCTCCCCAGCACTGCCTTCTCTGGCCCTCTCTTTCTTCCCAGCGCCATTTTCTTTCTGGCCCTGGGGCACCCGGTGGGCGGCTGGGGCTGGTCTCTACCCACTGACTGCTGATGGTGCTAAGGTCAGGCGCTGCTGCGGTGAGGCTGCACTACCATGGTAACTAACATATGTAAATAAATTTATTTTTTTAATGAATAATAAAATGCGTTGTTAATAATAAAATGCCCGTTTCCCAAGGGTATTTGGTCTGGAAGTTAGCTTTAACGGGTTGGTGTTTCTGGACAGGGTGTTGGGCCTTTGACAGTGGGATAATGGAGATCCCAGCTTGCTCAGATTTCCAAATGTCTCTTTTTTACTATTTTCTATTCCATAAGTATAAGGACAGAGTCTCACTTTGTAGTCCAGGCTGGTATCAAACTCCTGATCCTCTTGACTCTATCCCCTTAGGGTTGGGATTATAGGCAGGAGCTACCACCTCTGACCAATTTACTCTCTATATTTCTGATCCTTCTGAGGTAGATTCCTGGAAAACAAGAACCAGAAGGGTAATAAAAAGTCTAGTGGTTTGAAGCCAGGGTTGACTTGGAAGTCTGTCTCTCTCTCTCTCTCTCTCTCTCTCTCTCTCTCTCTCTCTCTCTCTCTCTCTCCCAATTTGATGCACACTCCAGTGTTTATAACTACAAGTCCTTCAAGAACAGGCCCCTCCCCAGCATGCCCACCCACTAGGGGCCACAGGTCTCAGGGTCTAGCCGGCAGAACAAAACTATAAAAAGTTTGTATTTCAACAAGGTTTCCTTCCAGCTTTGGCATTTTTAAAGTGTACCACCACATTATTAGTGTTATTTTCTTCCATTTTCAAGGCACTAACTTGAAAATCTTGTAATGTTTATTCCCCAGGGGATAGTTCCTTTGAAAACAAAATTCATTTTGTAGAACATTTGCAAAAGTGTGAGGAAGAACTACCTAAATACCTACCCAACCTGGATCCTGCCTGTTATTTCATAAAATCAAAAGGCAGTTTTTTTGAGCAAAAAGAAAAAACACAGCTGGATTTTAGCTGAGAGCTGAGAGGTGGGGAGAAGGACTTCCTGTTTTGAACTAACCCAAATCCAAACTGCTGCCTCCTGACACCAGTTTCTGGAGCTTGTATTCAGACCCAGTTTTGACCTGACAGAGGCTGGAGGGTGTGGGGCGACAAGGGTTTTTCTGTGCACTGGGTGCTTTCCGGCAAAAGGGAACCCTAAATGACTAGTGTCAGGAACCAGAGCAGTTTAGCCGTGAGTTCAGAGCTGCTGAGAGCAGTGTGGCTGCTGAAGGTCAGACCTCAGTGAAGGTCATACCTATAGCTTCCAGCAAGCCAGGTCCTTTTTACAGTTCAGAATGTTGGTTAAGAACAGGAATGTCGCCATGCCACTCAGTGTGGTGACTGGCTCATGGCTGTATCCCAGCACTTGGCAGGCTAAAGCAGGAGTGTCAAGAGTGTAAGGGTAGCCTCCACTACAGAGTGAGTCCCTGTCTTAAAAACATAATTTAAAAAATTAAATAAAAATGTTGCTGAGCATCAGGGCTAATGTCTGTAACTCCAGCATTCAAGAGGGTGAGACTAGAGGATTGCTGAGTTTGAAGCCATCTTGGGATCCACAGTAAGTTCCAGGCCAGCCTGGGCTATCACATAAAACTAAGTCTCAAGATAAACAAACAAATTTAAAAATAAAATTTATCAGGAATTTCTGAAGCACCCAGATTGAAGACTAAACTTATCCTCTCCAGCTCTGCTGGCTATCCAGCAAATGTGAATTAGTCAATGCCCACCAGGCCCAGTTCCTTCATCTGAATGGAATCAGTACCAATGCATACCTCAAAAGGGTGCTTCAGAAATAAATATAAGATCACAGCCAAGCAAACTTAATGCGTATGTGTGTATGTGGTGTGCAACACATGAAGAGCTGGCTGGTAAACGAAATCCAGAGGCAGAAGAAAATGCCTAAGCTAAAGTGACACCTTCAGGAGTCCAACCTTGAAGACTGGATGCAAAGCAAAGCCAGTTACGATGGCATGGCCTGTAACCCCACCTACTTGGGAGGATGGAGCAGGAAGGTGGCAAGTTCAAAGACTTGAACCTGAGCTACTTGGCAATACTTTGTTAGAACAAACAAAACCAAACACAACCAAAACAAACAAATCACCCCAAAACTGGGACCCATTTTGAGATGTGAAGATTGCAGTTGTAAAACAGAAGATTCCCTGAAGAGCAAACAGAAAAACAAAACGTAATTATGCGTATACTGAATAATAGTAAGAGCAAGCATGTTAATAAACAGGGAAATGGGGCACATTTTCAAAAGTCAATAATTTTAAATGGATTATTTTCTCCACAAAATTCTATTTTCTCAGGGTGGTCAGCAGCAAGTAAACAGACCTTTAATCCACTGATTCATGTGCACATAGTGCTGGGATCATGCTTTCTGAATTCATTTTTAATGATCATTTTGTAATTCTATAATTTGTAGAAAAGAAAAAATTCTCAAGAACTTTCTGCCCCATGGTTTTGGTGAAAAATTTAATAGTCGTAATTATGTTATTAAAAACAAGAAGGATGGGATGTAGCTCAGACGATAGAATGCTTGCCTAGAATTCATGAAGTCTTAGCTTCATTCTGTAAGCATAGAAACCAAGTATGTCATACATCTGCATAATTCCAGCACCTGAAAACTGAAAACAGGATCAAGAGTGCAAGGTCATCTCTAGCTATGCAATACTTCCAAGCTAGGCTGGACAGCATGAGATCCTGCCTCAAACATGAATGAATGAAAGAAAGAAAGAATGAATGAATGAATACATAAATAGATAAATAATAAATAAATTTAGTTAAGATGAAAAAGGAGGAGAAGGAGCAACAGGAAGAAGTAGAGGAAAAGAGGGAGGTGGAGGAGGAGGTGGAGGAGAGGGGAGAGGAAGAGGAGGAGGAAGAGGAAGAGAAGGAGGAGAAGGGGGAAGAGGAGGAGAAGAAGGAGAAAGAAAGAATGAATGAATGAATACATAAATAGATAAATAATAAATAAATTTAGTTAAGATGAAAAAGGAGGAGAAGGAGCAACAGGAAGAAGTAGAGGAAAAGAGGGAGGTGGAGGAGGAGGTGGAGGAGAGGGGAGAGGAAGAGGAGGAGGAAGAGGAAGAGAAGGAGGAGAAGGGGGAAGAGGAGGAGAAGAAGGAAAAGGAGGAAGAAAAGGAGCAAGCAGAGGAGGAGGAGGAGGAGGTAAGAGGGAGGAGGAGGAGGAGGAGGAGGAGGAGGAAGAGTTGGATTTCTGGTAAGTCCTAAAGTAAATTTTCTGAAGTTTGGAGGCACAGTTTGCTATTGGGAGAAACTTAAGCATCTTAAAACTATCTGTTCTTTGTCCATCATGACTAAAGTATGCTCTGAGTGGAAGGGAAGCCTTCCTAGATTTTTTTTTCTCTCCCTCATCATTTTACTTCAGAGATCTGAATGAGGAAAATGAGAGTTGGGTCTGGGAACTGAGCAGAGTTGGGTTGAGATTAAGAAGAAAGAAATAAGCACATGCTTAGGATTTCGTTAGTTTGGTTTTACTCAGAGAAAAGATAAGGTGAGGAAAAAAGATTAATGGTGTTGAAGTTGCTGAATGACAAACAACTGAGTCAACTGAAAAACACTCTACAGGGGCTTTCTGAGGGCCCAGAGCATCCTGATTACTGATACTCTTCATCAGAAGAGAGGAAAAACCCCTCCACGGACTCTTCCTTAGATGAGTATATTTGAAGAAGTGCTTTCGGTACTGTAATTGTGAAACGTTAGGCGTTTCTTGGTTGTGGTTGTTGAATTGATTTTTTGTATATTCTTTTGCTCTGGGCGTCAAGTTCAATTTCAGTTTAGCCTGATGGCTCCATCAAAGGATTGCAACGATGATGCTCGCAAATTTCAAAGGGGTCTTTACAAGCAGTTTGCTTTTCTGATAATAAATGTTTCAAAGATAGAGGAGGGAGAGCAGGAAGAGGCGGAAGAGTAAGAAAACATCCTCCTCCCATTAAAAGAACAACCGAGTGGAAGAGTGGAACATATCTACCAATTTTAATAGATACCAGGAAGCTAAGTTTGGTTGATGCTTCTGGAAGATGTTAAAAAGTTGCGTTGTATGAAATTCTGAAACAATGAATAAAATATTTTTTAAAAATTATGACTCGGGGCTGAAGAGATGGCTCAGCGGTTAAGAGCACTGATTGCTCTTGCCGAGGACCTGGGTTCAATTCCCAGCACCCACATGGCGGATACGAACCATCTTTAACTCCAGTTCCAGGGGACTCCAAAGCTCTTTTCTGACCTCCTCGGCACTGCACGACACGGGTGCACTCACATATGTGCAGGCAATACACTCATACACATAAAATAAAAATAATATAATAAAATATTAAAAAATTATGACTCAGAAAGTCATTTTAGTTATAGCTAGTAAAAACAGGTAAACTCATTATTTATTTCTCACTTCCAGGAATCTAATATGTGGCTCCTTTTGTTGCAAAGGAGGACCTGGTTGCATCTCCTTTCAGTGGACATTTGCATATGGACCCATCCACTGGGGGTAACCACAGTTTGCATCCCTGTGCATGTTCCTGACCATTTATCTTTCTGTATTCTAGTGATTTTTGAATTATTTTTCTTCTTCCCTCTTCAATAGTGAAAAATTGATCCAGAGAGAATCTTTGAGTACATGACTTTAAAAAGATCCAGAAAGCAATCAGACCAGTGTAATCAGGTAAACACAAGCGGCACAAAGGCTCCAGTTACTCTAAGATCTCAGCCTTCCTCTTGTCAGTGTTATTACTGTTAAGAGAGGGCCCACTTAAAAAGAAAAACAATAATAGAAAGCATAAAGTCAGTGGGTGAGGTAATAAAATGGGGTTTTATATGGGAGAGTTGATCCGAATATGACCCAAACATTGTATGAAATTCTCAGATAATCAATAAAAATATTTTTTAAAAGATGGGGTGTTGCTAATGGACAAGCTACTCAGGAGGCTGAAGCAGGAGGATGAAAAGTTTGAGATCTACCAGAACTACAGAATGAGTCCAAGTCCAGCCTGGGCAACTTAGTGAGACCCTGTCTCAAAATGAAATGTAAGAA